GGCACCACCACTTGACTGATTTTGTTCTTGTCAAGTTCTGGTAGCAAGTCAAACAGTAACTTTGGAATCCTTAGCTTGTTTGACCTCCTGAGACTTAGCATTGTTGTTTATCATCCTATCTTCCTCTGGCTTCCATGGCTGCATCTCTAATCTTTTTTTCTTTTATATGTCACAGTTCAGTTTTACTGGGATTTAGTAAGTACTCAGTAAATATTTGTTGAATCAATGAATGGACGAATGTGACTTCCTGTGTCTATGAGAAGGCACAAAAAAAAGTGAATACAGGCATTTTGCATTATTCTCACCAAATAACAAAAAAACAACAATCCCAATTTGTTGATAAGCATATTGTTTATCTTGTAATTTTCTTCTCTCACCTCTTTATTCTTGTCATTCTTAAAGCTCAATGCAAAAACCATTTCTTCTATAAACCACCCTATATTCCCGCAATGCATCAGAATTAATTCTATTTATACATATATTTAATACGATGACATGTAGTTCTATTTATATTTCTATTTACCATGCTTCAAATGGTTCATTATATAATAGCTGGTTATAGTTTTTCTCTCCATTAAGTTGGAAATACCCAAAACATAGAAACCCATATTCCTCATTGTATTGCTCTCAGATGATGTCTGACAAAAATATGTGCTCAATAACTTAGATTGGATTTCAAAGAAGGATTCCTTTAAAATACGAGATTCTAAAATATATTTATAAATCTTTTAGGCATGTCAGTTCCATTATTCAAATAATTGAAAGTGACAGTCATTTTTTGTTTTTATTTAATAGATTCAATACTCCATGGAGATTTTCAAAGTTGTAAACTTGGCAGCTGTGAACTTTACCTTTTTTAAACAAAATATTGATCTGATATTTTGTTTAGTTAAGTTACCACGTTAAATATGCCAATTTATGTGGATAAGATTTGAGGTGCTTTGTGTAAATTATATTTAAAATGTTTCATTTTGAGCACAATGTTTTATTTTTCTTCTGAACTTCACCAACTCTTTTTTTTTGGGGGGGGGGGCGCTCTGCATGACTTGTGGGATCTTAGTTCCCAGACCAGGGATTGAACCCAGGCCCTTGGCAGTGACAGCATGGAGTCCTAACCATTGGGGCACCAGGGAATTCCCCATGAACTTCACCAACTCTTTAAAACACATTATATATATATATATTTTTTGGTACGCGGGCCTCTCACTGTTGTGGCCTCTCCCGTTGCGGAGTACAGGCTCTGGACGTGCAGGCCCAGCGACCATGGCTCACGGGCCCAGCCGCTCCGCGGCACGTGGGATCCTCCCGGACCGGGGCACGAACCCCCGTCCCCTGCATCGGCAGGCGGACTCCCAACCACTGCGCCACCAGGGAAGCCCCACATTATATTTTATTTGCTTTTACTTTCCTTAGGAATTGAGTAATACTAGAAATAGAAACAATTACACTTTTAAAAGACTTTTAAAGACTCCACATTAGTGACTGTGGTTGGGAGCAATAGGCACACTCACAGAATGGCCTGGCCCTAATGCACTTAATATTTGCCATAAAAACATTTTATTATCTTTTATGTGACTCTTCTAATCTTTTCCTACGATAATTATAGAAGGTAAATTTCCATTTAGAAAAAGTAAGTGGAAATGTTACATGTTCCTTCTTGGGTTTCCCACACATGCTAATTCATATTTCTGCAAAGTAATAAAAAGGAAATCTCTACACTAGAGTATCACATATATACTGCTGAAGATCATATGCATTTCTAATAGGTAATACTGCCTTTTCATGAGTATACTGAAGGAAAAGAGAAGGTCTGGATTCTGGGAGGTGTTGACACATTGGACAAGCAAAGTGATAGTAAGTGATTAAGTCCCGTGTGGGACTTTTGAACCATAGGTTGGGGATGCCAAGCAAAATGCTGAGGGAAAATCAATGATGTATGAATTGCCTAAATCCCTCTGCCAAACCTTAACACTTACTTCCTTCGTAAGGTCCCTTCTCTTGGAAGTGAAGCAAGAATTGAGGTAAGTCCATGGACAGTAGGGTTCAGAGTCTCTGGCTGATGAAAGAGACCAGGGAAATCTAACACCTTAGGTCCATAATGCATGTCATCCCTTAGGGAAGAGTGAAAGGCCCTGCACTGTAACAGGTGGAGTAGCCCAGGACGAAGCACTGACTTTGAAGACACACATTCAAGTGTCAGCTCTACCCTTGTGAACGCTGAGGTCATGTCCAAGTCACCTATCCTCCCTGAATCATGGTTTCTTCAGTAAGTGATTAGATATACTAGCATCGTAAGAATTAACTCACATAGCATATCTGGAATTTCCTAGAATACCTAGAACATATGAGCCCAAAGGATTGAATTTAATTTGAATGGCAAAACCCATAATTTTTCCATTTCCCCCTTTTTGGAAAGTGTCAGACTTACAGTGTCATCCCCAAAACAAAAGCTTTTGTTACTCATTTGTCCTGCTTATCCCTCAACACACTGTTCAGTTTCAGCCCCAATATACAGGTTTTTATTCTCTAATTAAGAAGATAACCTTATTTCCCAAATAGTGGTCTTTAATTTCTCTCCTTATAATTTCCTCAAAGATATAATTCCATAAGCTATATGAAGCCTTCCCTAAAGGACAGAGGCCCAAATCTTGATCAGTGTCAAGTCAGTACATCCTACATTGGGTTTACCCCTAGTTGCCTCAAAATTTCTTGAATGTTAAGGATCACATTTTGTCACCCAGTGTAGCATACTAGCGCACTGTGAAGCACCAATGTTCCCACTAAATTATTCCTCTCCTCCCTGAGTCTACTGTTCCTTCTGATGTCTACTCACTGTGTCTGCCACCACTATTTACTAGTGATCCAAACCAGAAGCCAAAGAATCATTCTTGACTTCTTCAATCCATCTCGTCCATTTAAACACTAAGATCTACCTATTTTACTGCCTCATCAATTTTAGAATCTTCCCTCCTTCTTCCTGCTTTAACCCTAGTCCTCTTGCTCATTATCTCTATAGAGATAGAACATAGAAAAAGCCTTATAGCTGCTCATTGGTTCTTTTCACTATTCAATTCCAGCTTTACATTCTAGCCAAAATGATCTATTTATGTGGAAGATCTAATCTTGACACTTCCTTTCCTGAAAAGCTGGATTAGTTTCTCCATTTAATAGTGGAAAAATAATTGAAATCCCAGATAATTTTTAGGGTTACTGCCTCTTGGTTCTTGTTGCCTTCCTTTTCTCAAATTTTATGCCTCAATAATACCAAGCTGATTTTAGTTCCCTGGGCACACACTATGCTATTTAACCCATCTATGCTTCTTCAAGCTTTTAACTCTTGCTTGGATTTTTTCCTTCCTGGTTTCTTCTTCTGTGTTAAACTTCTTATTCTTTGAGGCTCAGCTCAGAGGGTTTCTCCATTAAGAAAATATTTACAAATCCCTAAAATGGGCTAAGTCTGACTCCTTTGTTTTTTCATAGAATCCTGTGTTTACTGTGATTTATTACTTAGTACACTGCATGGGCATGGTTTCTTCATCTTTCAGGGTCTCCTACAGTACCAAAAATATTTTGAAGATAAAAGATGTGTCTTTCCTAGCTCCTCTAGGTAAGAGGTGGTTAATTCTTACTACCTAGATTCTCAGAACTACCAAGGTTTCAAGTTTGTTCCTCACCTGTTTTTTCAATTCATTGGGGCATCTCAGGCCCCTCTAATAATCCATCATTTTGAAATAAGAAAGCCAGAGTCAGTTGTTTGACACTCTCAACCAAAGAATCCTACTAATCTGTGTGTGCATTTCATTTTGTAAAATTTCATAGTATAATTATCACTGATATTTCCACAGTAGGTTCCCCTACTCCTCAGAATAAACTGTGGCTTTTACTATTTGATGCTAGCTTATACACAAAATATATTATAGATATAAATACACATGTACACATATATGTGTAAATCTTGAGGGCTACAATGTCTCTTCCTTAATAATATAGTTCTACCCAGCAACATTTTCCTTTTAATGTAAAGTCCTGAGAGCAGAACTTTGTTTTGTTTCCTGATGTATCTCAGCACTTAGACAAGTACTTGGAACATAGTAGGTCTTCAATAATATCTGTCAAATGAGAGCATGAATGAATAAACTAAATGATTTACTTTCTTACATAATTAAAAGTAGCAACTCTGAGCTAGAAAGATTGCATTTGCCAGTACTGCTCAAGAGTAAAATTTATTCTCTGGAAGATTCTTGCTTTATAATTTTTAATTTAATAGACTAACTTAGTTTAAATTTTGATGTATTTTGCCAAGAGCAGTTGTAGAGTCTGAAACGTAGGTTTTAAACTCACACTTTGAGTTTTTCCTAGGCAATCTGTAACTATAACTACCTGATAATTGGTACATGATAAAATTGGATAGAGGTTTTCATCACCTGATTCCTTCTTATATTCTCAGCTATTAGGAAAACTTGATTCAACAGTTATTATAAATAACTTTTTAGGTAGGTTTTATTGAATATTTTGGTCCCTATACAGTGGCTTTTAAAATGTGACAGGATGTTCTTAATGGAAATGACTAATAATTAAGTGGCTTTCATGCACTTTTTGAATAGTAAAGGATTTTGTTTATTCTTTCCCAGAGTCAGAAAAATTCAGCATCTAATTCCAGAGTGATGTAAGGTGATTATTCATTTTCATTAGTGAAGCATCACCAAAAATAAGATCTATTTAGCCTGAACAAAATGTGTATGTGTGTATATGTGATATATATATATATATATATATATATATATATATATATATATCTCAAACATGGAATTATATAAGTAGATGTAACCAGTCAAAACATGAGCAGATGCAAAGATATGAAAGCATGAAGGCAATTTTGAGAGGAAATGAGAGGAAGAAATAGTGCTATAAGTATTGTTATAATTGAACAGATTTTTCTTATAGATTTTGTATAAAAATATATCATTTGTATTCTTTTGAAACTAAATCTATTCACTCACCTTCATATAACCAGTCAGCAATTCCATTAAAAATAATTCCTTCTTTTCCAGAAGATGTCAGTCGCAATGAACTACTCTTTATATCAGGTTGATAGTAGATATTATTTTCAAAAATATAAATCTGGATCAGGAAACATGTAAAACAAACAAACCAAAAAACCAAAAATATTAGGAAGCCTTTTTTTAAACTTTCATATTATAGAATAATAGCTAAAGAGCTAAGTGTTTTATTATTTGCCTGCTTTCAATTTGTTTTTAATGTATATTTTTTATTGCTTTCAATTATTAATGGCTGTTTCTTTCTCTATCATATAATATCCAGTTATCATTTAGAAATTACATGGTACTAGCTATTGAAGCTTTTAAATCCATATATTCAACAACAATGTTTCATCTACTTAATAATCTTTTTCTCATACCACAAAATTGGTTTGGGTTTGAGCTAATATTCTGCAGGCTTAAGAGACTGACAACTGTACTAGATGCCATTTTAGTAACAGCAAACAACTCGAAAAACCTCAATTTGGGGTCTTTTACCAAAAAATGCATTGGTGATCAATAAAATAATCTTTAGAGAATGTCTCTGATTCTCTCCAGCTCAACTCAAAGATCCACTAATGAAAGGAAACACTGGCAAAATTCCTTCAGATTGATAAGTGGAACACACCTCCCTATGCCTCAATCTTCCCTGGTAATTCTTTCCTAAATAGCATAGCAGTAATAATAATCTTGTGCTTGAGGATTCAAGAAAGAGTTTTAATATGAATACATTACAGAGTCTTACAAAATAATATCAACATCACCAGCAGCAACAACAATAGTCCCAATACAGGAAACAGCAGTAGAAATTAAACAGTGTCTGTCCACAAAAAACGAACTATCTTTAATAGAGATAATTCAGGATCAAATCATTTATAATTCACTTTAAAATATTTTTAATGCCAAGCATTTCAAACTGTTGGTCTGTGTGATATAACTGTCACAGAGCCATGTTTCATCCACTTGTTGCGGGGAGTAGAATATTGTTCAATGAAAACCAAATTGCTATTTAGATTGACATTCTACTAAGAAGGTGAAAGATGGCCTAGTGCCCATGTGTTCCAGCATGCTATAGGATCATTGCACAAAAGCAGACAGAGCAAACACAAGAACTTCTGAAATAATTGTCTGATTAATCATGAGGTCCTAGATTTTAAACCTTGATGTGCACAATGATGAAGGCAATCTTAATATCCAGAATATTTGATTGGTATCCTACTTTGATTCTGGTGATTTGGCAAGCACTTAACAGTGAGTGTATCTAGTTAACCATTCCACCACTACCTGTTGTTTATATTACAGGTGAGGATGACAATAAGAATAAGAATTGTTGGGGGTGGAGAGTAAAAAAGATATAATAGGTGTTTAAACATGTGTTTATAATCAGGCAGCCTAAATTTAAAATCCAAATAACTTGGATAATTTGCTTAACCTTTCTGCATCTCAATCCTCTCTTTTATAAGATGTGGATGTCTCACACCTACTTTAGAGATCTGATGTGAAGAATAAATGAGATGATGAATGTAGAACATGTAACACATGTGGCTATTGCTAGGAGCAGGGCTAACTTCACGCAAGATAATCTGGTTCAAAAATCTTACACTTTGTGCAGGCGCTACAGAATCTAATTCAAAACAAAACCTCTACAGCTTCAGCCAATGTGTAAATTATCCCAAACTATTGACTACTGGGTTGATTATATTATGTCGACTATATATTAGGAATAGTTAGTAGAATAGTAATAGCAGTAGGGGTAGTACTATTAGGAGGAGAGGGGGTGGTATTAACAAATGATATTCATTGCTTTCACTTCATTTAGAAAGTTTTCAAGTGATAAGAATATAGGAAATAAACTTATTATTGAAAGTATGCAGGTCCCACTTAGGCAAAAGTTTGAGAACTATATCTCAGGTATCTTAAAACTGGATGGAAGTGGTTTTTTTTTATGACTTTCACAACCCCTCATAACTGAGAAATAATATTAGCTTTATGGTAGCCAGTTAAAGCTTAAACTTTATGTGTTTTGTATACTACCTCCTTTTGCCTTTCACAAACAGTATATGAAATAGGCACACAAAATCGGCTTTACTTGGAGGGAATCCTCTTTTTGTACCATAATCTTCTACTAGGACTTGCAAGTAAATAGAAATTCAGATCATCCACACTCATGCTACATAAGCACATGGGACTATTATCAAAAGTAAGGGTGACTTGAGACTTCCCTGATGGTCCAGTGGTTCGATCCCTGGTCAGGGAATTAAGATCCCACATCCCACAGAGCAACTAAGCCCACGCGCCACAACTACTGAGCTTGAGTGCCTCAACTAGAGAGACTGTGTGCTGTAACTACAGAGCCCACCCACCCTGGAGCCTGCACGCCACGACTAGAGAAGAGGAAAACCGCACACCACAACTAGAGAGAAGCCCACGCACTGCAACGAAAGATCCCGCGTGCCTCAGTGAAGATTTCCCCATGCCGCAACGAAGACCCAACACCGCCAAAAATAAATAAATAATAAATATTTAAAAAACACTAAAAAGGGTTACTTAACCCAATGTAATATTGTTCCAAATCCTCAGCTTTTTGAAGGGAACAAACTCTAAGTCAAAACAATTAATAAAACCTCCACGATTTCAGCAGATGTATAAATGGTTTTGGATACCAAAACCATTGACCAGTAATTACATTTGTATTTGAAGAACAGATTGGATGATGTTCAAACTCCACATGAAACTGACATCTGTTTCAATGTAAAAGAACAAGCAATATGGAATCAGAATTTTAATGCCATTTGCTGAAATCTGTAATATCAGGGGATATCCACAAGATCTTTTTTCTGTGGACAAAAAATTAGTGGCTGCCTTTATGAAAATATACATTTATAGTCTTTTAAACCCTTTTAAATTACCAAAGTTTTTCCTTGAATTATATTAGCTTCAAATAATAATCACAAACTCTCACCACTACTTTAGCAATATAGGAGCTGCAAATATTCCCAGGTACTATCTTGGCACATTGATGAAATTCAGCTGGATCCAAATGGCAATGATCAAGGGCTACGACTAGATTTAAATCACATTGAAAATACGACAAACACTAATGCCATTTATCCTAATGCTACTGATTAAACTGTCATAATATTTTTGACGCCATCAATCAATTCCTTCAATGAGCCACCTAAACAGTATAACAAATAGAAATGGATAGCTATTTGACCACTTAATTTTTCAGCTAATAGAGCAAGCTGACTAACCAGTTTTTCAAAATCCATGGTCTTAGTACACTTACAAAATAATTCAAAATTGGTAAAGTCATAAGAAAGGCAACAGGAAGACAGCTGAAATACTATATGCTGTGACAAACTGAGAAATATGTAGTAAATGACCCAGGAAATTATTCTATCAATGTGTTAATTGATATTACTCATTACCAATGATTAAACACAATATGGGTCATTGCTGTGCAGGAGGCTTCAAGAGCCAATTTTCAACTTTCTGCCTTCTCTTCCCCTGCTGCTACTCCAGTAATGCTTAAGATGATGGATGCCCCAGCAGCCAGGATTGCTGGGTGAAGAGGTATGGTACAAACTCCTTCCCCAGCCCCAGCCAACTTGTGATGGACATATGGCAATAAATGAACGTTTGATGTTAAAAGTCATTAGGATTATAGGTTTGAGAGCAATTACAATGTAAATTACCCTACTCTGACTGATTTAACCAGAGACAATGCCTAATACAAACTTATAAGAGCAGACTCTTATGAACTTTCAGCCAGTTTAATTGAAAAAGAACATCAGAATAGAACAGAAATATAATTGAATGTTAGATCTATTTTAGCTGAAATATTACTGAAAAGCTATTCCACCTTCACTGATTTGAGTGATCTTTATGATAATTTTAAATTAGAAAACTACAAATCATTCAAAAATCCCCATATGTTGTAATGGTGTAAGAGAATCTACAAAGTCACAGCCAAGTTGGGATAGTATTCGGGTTGCCTTCTACTGTGGCTTGCTTTCTGGGAAAAAGTTGTAATTAAGAAACTATCCCAGATAACATATATTACTGGCAGGGATGTGGTGAAAGGGGTCTTTTCCTATGTTGATTGTGAAAATATAAAATGTGATAAGCATATTGAAAAGCACTATGGCAACTGAAAACAAAACATATTCCATCTCATCAGCAATCCCAAATCTGGGGCCTTGTCTTGTAAGAAAAACAAAAACAGAAAACCACCAATATGTACAGAATGATGAAGAGTGATATTTATTTCTGCAGTGTTTATGATGGCCAAAATGAAGAGTCAAAGTGAAAACCTATCAAAGTGCTTGCCTGGATGGATTATGATTCATCCACATCAGGTAGTAACACTCAGGCTTTGAGAATAAATTAGTGTTACATGAGTTGACCTGGAGGTGTTTCACTGAGATATTGTCAAGTGACAAAAGGCACAAAACAAGAAAATTATTTCAACATGAATCCATTTTTGTGCACCAGACAATGACAATACTAATACAAACTTACACTAGCAGGGATCTCACCAACAGATATACATTGAAAGTTGTCTTTTTTTTTTTTTTTTTTTTTTTTTTTGCGGTACACAGGCCTCTCACTGTTGTGGCCTCTTCCGTTGCGGAGCACAGGCTCCGGACGCGTAGGCTCAGCGGCCATGGCTCGCGGACCCAGCCGCTCCACGGCATGTGGGATCTTCCCGGACCGGGGCACGAACCCGTGTCCCCTGCATCGGCAGGTGGACTCTCAACCACTGCGCCACCAGGGAAGCCCTGAATGTTGTCTTTTGGTACTCAGCCCCACACCTGCCCCTCACCCCCCATAGTCTCCTATTACTGTGTCATCAGAAACCTGAAATCTACAATTCTAAGATTCCCTTGCAAACTAGTCTTCTCAGCTTCTTTGCTTGATGGGTTCTAGTTACTTTCTGCAAATATGAGAAAGCTGCTAGTTAGGAACTGGAAGACATTTAACCTTTGGCAGTGGCTTTTGCATGCCAGCTTCAACAATAGTGACTAAGTAGCAGTATATATATATATATATAGTTTCATACCCTTCAAATCTATGCAG